ACACAAAAGCTGAACAAAATGCATGAATGCATTCAATGTACAGTAAGTCACTGCACAAAAACATCTAGTCTATAGGCAGCCCCTGGTAAGTGAAAAGGGAGGTAATTTGTTGCTTCCCTTCCTCTTTATATTATGATACAACATATTGATGCAAAAGATTGATTTTCATCTTTATGGGAGGGTTGGAATTGAGAGATAGCAGAGTTTATTTCAAAAAGGCTGTTGCATTTAAATATAAATGGCACCCTGGGAAGGCAGTTTGTTTTTAAAAAAAATGCATCCCACTGTATTTTGATTTCATCGCATTCATATTAAAATGTGAAAAACAAAATCTAACTTGCATCTATGGGTGAGTACCCCAATTTAAAAGTGCCTTTCCTGGGTCCCATGTATGTTTTACCAGCTCTGACTGTGATGCAAAAGATCAATTTTCATCTTTATGCAAGGGGTGTTAAATATGAAGATTATTTCCTAACATTACTGAGATCAGTTACAGTGAACTCCCCAATCATTTGAACTGCTGTCAATATAGACCATATTCAAACTATGATACAGATGGATAACTGGATCTATAACCAAAGAGTGCCATTGGTTTTTTGGTAGCAAGAGCCACATAAGTGACCCTCTAGGTGTTGAAAACACAGGAGGCACACTTATAACAAATCTCTTGCGATGTCTATAGTGAAATCTAACATAAGATAATTAGGTACACAGAATGGTCTGGACACAATGCTGTAGCATAAAACTGATGAACATGGATGTGTACTGGCACCTGGACCTGTCATGGCAATTAGATAGTGAGGCACTAAACTTGTCATGACACCTTGGCACTATATTGGCCTTAGACCAACATGGGTCATATACTGGGTAAAGACTAAGTGATCTTCGATGCACATGCTTGTGTTATGGTGCTTTGACCAGGGTATGCAATTTTTTTCACCATCAGCTGCCATTCAGGCCAAAGAAAAGGCCATATCAGAAGTTGTGCTGACTATATAATCTACATGGGAATTCAATCTTAATGGAACAATACCTTTATTTCCTTCTTTTTGTGACAAGGTCATAATACCAGTTTGTATCATTTCTGACATCTGGGGCTAAAACATCATATCTGGAAGTAAATCATTCTGGAGCCATTCAACATTGGTAGGACTTGGATTTGGACTGAAATGGATCATTATGGTAGCAGGCCTTCTAGGATCCATAATAGATTTAGGGCTTGACTCCAAGTTGCTGAATTGTCTAAGGTACTCACCATTCACACCTCCTACATCTCTTACCAAGTTCAAGTCTCAGCTCAACTAATGTGGGTATGAGCCTGTGGGTTGGTGGTTATTCTTGGAGTCTACCAGGGTTATTCCTTACTGTCCGCCATGTATCATGAGCTACAAAATGATGTTAAACCCCACAAAAGCAAATGAAACTGTAAAAAGTATAGACTCTTTCATGTCTATATAAAGCTATGGAAAAATAAGAACTGGGCACAATGGCACTGAACTGGCCTTAGAGCAGCAGGGGACTACTGTACTGGATGTCTCTTCCATATGCATGCCTGTGAGCTAGTATTAGTGTCTGGTACCACTCCCCTAAACTAATCATAGAGTGATATGTGACCACTGTAGCAATATACTCAGTCTCTTCCCTGTGAGTGCCTGTGTTGTGATGCTGGGATGGGATATGAAATGTTAATGTAAGCAGTCCCCTAAGGCATATCTGTAGACAATATGAGATTAAGTGCTGATAGAAAGCAATCTATATATCTGGCAAAGTCTGGTCTTAACAAAACTAGAAATCATTTCCTTCTTTTTGGTGGTTTAGGACATATTGGCTCTCCATAACCAATCAATGTCTGCATTAGGTGAAGCCATGTTTGGGTTGGTATTGACTGCTGACCATCTGGCTAAGCATCCTAGGAAGTTAGATTGGATGTCATCCCTATTCCAGATAAGTCCTAACAGTACTGCCTGTTCTGATCAAGATTTATGAAATCAAAATGGGCATGGGAATATTGGATCCATGTACTGGTTCTTCCTGAGATGCTGTTGACCAGTGTCACTCATCTCAGATGTCAAAATAGGTACTGACAGTCTCTTGCACTAATTCGTAATCAGTAATAATACTACTACTTGTATCATCCTCTCTATCAATGGTGTTTTATTCACCTTATTAGATGCATGTTCTGAATTACTATGATTATCCTCTGCCAGACAAAGTGCTTGCCACTAACAGCAACTTAATTTTGTTGATTCCCGTGAATACAGACTTATATGACTGCCTCCATAGGCGAAATCACTCAATGTACAGAGAAGTGGAAGAAAATAAATAAATCAAATACCTTAAAAAAAACTTATATTCAGATCCTTTATTGTCTATTATTAGAAAGAAATCATGTGATAGGTCAATTTCACAGTATCTGAATGAATGAAATAGTGACCAGAGCTGATGAAATCATTCAAGCACTGCATAAAAATATCAAGGAATAGATGCTGGTGAACAAATTAACTGCAAGACCTTCCATATCTGTAATATTCTATAGTCACTGGCCAAAAACCATTACATAAAAAGTGATATAAATATAGATGGAGTATACTAAACTTCCCATACATGAAAAGCTCCAACTCGCCTAGCTGAGTGTAAAATACCACCCGATACAGGAGTTTTGCAAAGTCATTAAAAGAACATATTTCATACCAGGAGTGAAAGTAGTAACTAATGTAAATGGTTTTGGCTCGTCTATCCAAGGGGAGATCACTCTTGTTTAACTTTCATCTAGGTTGGCACACGTTTAGATACTTTTTTAAGGCTAAATTTTAAGTTGCTAGTATTTGATTTGTGAGGTAGTGCTCATACTCCTAAGATATTATGATTTGGTGATGTATTTTAAGAAAAAAAGTACGTGGGATAACAGAATTAATAAAACTTACGCATGTGGTATGGTGGATTTGAAGATGTCCAACATACAGGCACATGTCTTGTCCCAAGCATCAGGTTGGAATTTCATTCCATTAGATATGACTAGATTCTCCAGACAATTAGTGCCAGATCTGGCTAACTGCTCATTATCTGAAAAACATTATTAACTTGTGAGACAAACATGAATACATCAGCCTACATTCCATAAATCACACATTTTTGGCAATCATAAACAGTTAAATAATTTTTTCAATAAACTAGACAAAGCAGTCCTTATACCTATACAGCAAAGAACAAACAACAAAAATATGCAAATAAACTGAATCTACTTCAGTCAATATGTTAAAATAATATGATTTACATCATCTAAGGACTGGTGATAAAACTGGCCCTATATAGATCAGATGATGGTAATCACCAGAATCTGGTGTTTGGACAGGTGCCACAACTGACACTATGTAGATCGCCTGACACAAACTGACCTTATGTAGATGGACTGACAAAACTGATCATATGTAGACTGACAGACACAACTGACCCTATGTAGATTGACTGACACAACTGACCTTATGTAGACTGACTGACACAAGCAACCCTATGTAGATTGACTGACACAACTGACCCTATGTAGATTGACACAATTGCCCTGATGTAGAATGTCTGACAAAACTGACCCTATGTAGATTAAGCCAGTGTATTCAACAGACTCAGTGGTTTTAAATATCCAGGAGCCATAAATATCATTTCAAATAATTTGGATAGGAATATGAACTCTGAAAAATCAAGATTTCTGTAGAACCTTCAGAACATGCAATCCTAAAAGAAATTGGGTGAAGAAAATGAAGCATCATTTTAATGAATTAATAGGTGTATAGTTATTTTCACCTATTGTATGTGATGCACAATCATCATCTAAATGATTTTCTTATTTGTATCAAATACCCATCTCATGCTGCCAGAATGAAATTTAGTGTACAAAGTACTGGTCCCCATTTCCCCTATGGGGTACAACTGATGACTGTCTCCACTGAGGTCATTGCAAGGGATGAAAATGCAAAATACCCCCCAAAATTGAAATTGCTATTATGCACAAATATTAAAATTAAAAGGACATCTTTTATTTGCATAAAAGAGGATTCATAATTGTTGCACCCAATTTTGCATTCTTATGCAATGTGGCTCAGTCTGGCTGTGAGTCTGAGGTTTATAGTGGGCAGTCTTACACATTAGGCATGGGCTTGCAGATTTCCTGCTGATTTTTCTCCTGTGCCCCAAAATCTTGACCTGTGTTCCCTCCTGGGTGCACTCTTTCTTCAGAAAAAAAAATTTAAAAATGTGCCTACAACTTATCATTAATGAATGTCTATTCATGTCTGTGTTGGCATTAGCAATACCCAAAGTTGCAAAAGGTGATAGAAACTGTAAGATGGTAATGAATATCTTTTAAAACAATGTATCAAGCAATGAAAACATTCAAGGCTTATGGTAGTCGGCCAAGTTACAATGTGAAGTGTTTAACAGCCATTAGTGTAACATATTTTCATGCTTGAAGTCAATTCTAGAATAAGAACATTTAACTTTTTGAGGCTGAAATAATGGCAACGTGATGAAATATATGCAAATGCACAATTTATCATTCCATTAATGAGTTGTTAGTTTGATCAGAAAAGGAATTCAGAAAAGTGGTATTTATATTATAATAAATGTGTGCACTAAAAACAAGGTCCATAAGGGAAAATTCATAACAAGGTCATTTCAGACTAACCTGCTAATCAAAAATGTTAATATTTTCATGTTACTTTATCACATGATAAACTTTTATTGCAATAATATGTGATGTGATGTGATTATGTGATGTGATTATGATTTTTAACATAGCTTTAACAATTTTTCAGTATATCATTACTATGTCTGCAGTGTGGCAGTTTATAGTGATGTCTAGCACTGGGACATCCTGCCAGACATGTAGCATGATGTCCAACCAAGTCAAATTATCCTGACACCAGACCAACCATTCCTAACACTAACCAATAATGTTGAGCATCAAGCGAGGCAGCTGTTAGTAAAAGTTTTATAAGTCTTTGGAATGACCCTCCTGGGGATCAAACCCATGACCTCCCACATCTGAGGCAGATGCTCTAACCACTAGGCCACCGGAGTGGTTTATTGCAAATGAAGTGCACACCACATAGTTAGGCTGGCAGAACTGTGAAAGCAAACAGATCTCATTTTTATAGCATTATGTGCTACTATTTTCCTTTGTACTCTAAAATATAACTCCTCCAAAATAAGCTTTTTCACTAACATGAGCTCTGTCAGTTTTATGTTCTTGAAACAGTGCTTAGCCAACTGCTATGCCAGATTCTTTATGTTTTAAAAATGCTGTATTAAGGGATCTGTGCTCCCTCAGAAAGATGAAATAAACATCATTACTTTTTAACTTTTATCTAGATTCTTGTTTATTCAATATATCTTTACCCTTAGAGGTTTATACAGTTTGTTGCACAAGATCAATCAGGGTTTAATCCTTTGAAAAAAGAAAGAAAATTACACTCTATTTTTAAACTGCCTGTATTTTAATTGGCATTCTGCCTTTTCTGCACTTAACTTTAAAATACTGCTGAATATGTGGTTGACAAGCATGCCATCTAGATTTGTATATCTAGCATGTACATTGGACTTGTATTAAACATCATTAATGGGTTGAAAATAACTCAATGGCATTTTCACTAATCTGACATCCTTAAAATTTTTATAAGCAACAGTCATCATCAGCCAGTCATCATCTGAAGATGAATCAATTGGGAGTCGGCCATTTTGGGTTTTCTAAGCAGCCCATGAATGTAAGGTTTAAACTATGACAGAATGCTTATTCCATGTGTGTTTCAAATTTAGCTGAAAAACTACTAAACTATCACAGAATGCTTATTCCATGTGTGTATCAAATTTAGCTTAAAATCTACTCATGTGAAGTTGAAGTACCCAGATGTGTAAACAGTTGTTTAGCTGAAGAAAAAAAAACAACAGCACTACATGACCTCTACTGGCAGTACAACTTATACTGCAATAAGCACTTTAAGGGTTAATAATTTAAAGAAAAACTATTTAGTACAGAGTACATTGTTATATGGGCAAAACTTGAATCTAATTTGCATTAGTTTTATGCAACATTGTTCTCCAAGTGAGCTAATTTTACAATTTTGCATGATGCACACACTTCACATTCTTGTAGGATCTCTGATAATGATGTGCATGGGCTGTACATTGAAGACAAAACAAGTGACCATGTTATAAATAAGGACATATTATACTGAGGTACATTCCAATATTTCCTCTTTAAAATACTGTACATGGAAGACAAACAAGTGACCATGTTATAAATGAGGACATTATACTGAGGTACATTCCAACATTCCCTCCTTAAAATACTGTACATGGAAGACAAACAAGTGATCATGTTATAAATGAAGACATTATACTGAGGTACATTCCAACATTCCCTCTTTAAAATACTGTACATGGAAGACAAACAAGTGATCATGTTATAGATGAGGACATTATACTGAGGTACATTCCAACATTCCCTCTTTAAAATACTGGACATAGAAGACAAACAAGTGACTATGTTATAAATGAGGACATCTTATACTGATATACAGTCCAACATTCCCTCTTTAAAATACACTACATGGAAGACAAAACAAGTGACCATGTTATAAATGAGGACATATTATATATACTGAGGTAAATTCCAATATTTCCTCTTTAAAATACTGTACATGGAAGATAAACAAGTGACCATGTTATAAATGATCTTACCTTATACTGAGGTATATTTCAACAAAGCGATATTATAAATATATACAAATTGTGCACAAAAAAAAAAGGATATTCAGTGATGTAAAAACACTTAAATTAGCTATCTCGTGTTAATTTTTGGCATGGTTTTGAGAATGCACGTGGCAGCCAGTATATTTGGTCAAGGAATAACCCAGAATGAACCACCTACCCATGGGAAGTTACTGGCAAAACTTTCTTCCATGCCCATGCTGGCTGAGCTGAGATTCAAACTAATGCAGGCAGAAACAAATGTATGAATGATCTGTAAAAGCAAGTACCTTTGATTACTGCCTTGATCCAAAAGCTAAAATGATATCAAAACAATTAAGTATCAATAATAAAATAAAATCTACCCACAACTATAAGAATCCAAAAACACACCCATGCTTAGGGATGTCAGTATTCTTAAGGGTTTTATAGTGAGGGACCAGTGTACATGGACAAAGTGAGATGTATCTGAAGACCATGGCTAGTCTATACATTGTGATTCTTACCTTGCTGAACACACCAGTGTAGCTGTTGATATAATTCATTAAGAAGAATCGGATACAGTATATCATAGTACTGGGAGAACACATCGATTATTGCATAAAGAGCATGATTACAGGTTGTTGTCATCCATTCTGTTTTCTGAAATAACAGAAAAGGCACCTTTCAATTCACTATGCATTTATCTAATACATGTTGTCCCCTCCATAACAAATTATTACTATTATGATCAACCTCTTTCACATCACTATTATTATTAGTATTATTATTATAATTATTATTATTATTATTATTAGTATTATTATTATTAGTATTATTATTATTATTATTATTATTATTATTATTATTATTATTATTATTATTATTATTAGTATTATTATTATTATTATTATTATTATTATTATTATTATTATTTCTACACAAAATCGATGGTGATCAATTGAAATCAAAATACAATGCTGAACTCTGTTTTCATTCATAGAACTGTTGTCTTGTAACAATTTTTTTTATAAGAAGCAATTTTTTTCCACTTCCTTTAGAAAATTGAGTTATAAAGAAAGATTAAACTCCAATTCAGAAATTGAATTACTTTGGTAATGGCAAACTTGATCATGAAATGTTTTAGTTTTTAAACATCCCTGAAAACAGTGACTTGTTACATTGGTGTGAAAAATGATTAAGAAACTCAGTTATTAGTTTCACTATTCTACAACAGTCAGACTGTATGACAGATGGACAGATAATAAATAAATATATAGATAAACAGACAGACAAGACAAAAGCCAAACAATTTTATTTCAGTATTATATAATTTTATTACTACAGTTCATTTGATCTTGAAACACTTCTTTAAAAAATCAAATGAGGAGACACACTTTTCTAACACAGAAATGAACTTGCCATATTTATATCTTATATAAATAAAATGACATACATTTCAAAACATTTTCAATCCAGCCCTAGAATGCCCATGAATCAGGATTAATAAAAAAGCATACTTATATCCATGGAATAAAACATTCATGCCTTATTACAGCTGATGTTATAGAAACAAGCATGTTCTTCATTTGCAACACCATCCAAAATGTATTATACAAGCCAATAAAGCACAATTTCCCCCAGGAAAAAAAAATGGTGGATAAAAAAAAATCTTTAGACAAATTATGACTTAATAATATTGGGGGAGAGGTGTATGTCTGTATAATTTGCATGAATCCATGACTACATGATCTAATCCTAATTTGTATGAATCCATGACTACATGATCTAATCCTAATCCTAATTTGTATGAATCCATGACCACATGATCTAATCCTAATTTGTATGAATCCATGACCACATGATCTAATCCTAATCCTAATTTGTATGAATCCATGACCACATGATCTAATCCTAATTTGTATGAATCCATGACCACATGATCTAATCCTAATTTGTATGAATCCATGACCACATGATCTAATCCTAATTTGTATGAATCCATGACTACATGATCTAATCCTAATCCTAATTTGTATGAATCCATGACCACATGATCTAATCCTAATTTGTATCAATCCATGACTACATGATCTAATCCTAATCCTAATTTGTATGAATCCATGACTGAAATACAATGCAATGGGGATCACAAGTATAGGTTTTGCAAGTACTAAAAAGATCACCACTTACATACAAAGCTGTATGATATTCTCATGTACTTTATTTAAAATAAAGGTACCGATGGAAACTTTGTAACCTTCTTAATCTCCACAAAATAAAACTTGACATTTTAAGCGACTTACTTGTAAGTGTATATACGGAGATAGTAAAGAAATATTATATTTTTGTTCCTGTTACTTTCAATTAACTTCTTGTCTCTCAGTTAACTATCTCATATCAAAAATTGCAATGAATGGTTCAGAATGACTGCTATGTATGAAACATTACATAATCACAATGAAGTGAGCACTATTTGTTTGTTTCAGAAAGAACTAGAGGGTCATCAAAGAAGGTTTTCCAATTTTTATTATTAATGCTTTTAATCCAATCATAAAATTTTCAACACACACTAAAAATGTTCTGTGTTAATCACAAGCAGTTCCTTAAAAAAAGGAAAACTGCCAATATTAAAGCAATAATTGTGCCAATTAATTAGTGGATCACTTTTCCTTTTTATCAGGTGATCAAATTTTTATGTGTACCATTATCTATTGATCATGGTGCAAGAATTTAGGAATGCCAATAAGACCTTATAAAAAGTAATTTTATGCGATACTCAAAAGTATGGCAAACCCTTGACCAATTGACCCAAAAGTTATTTTGGAATGAAATAAAGGACCTACAAAACTACAATGGCCAGGATTTACGAAGCTATCATGGACAGGACATACAAAATAACCATGGAAAAGACCTATACAACTACTATGGACAAGACTACAAAAATACCATGGACAAGACTACAAGACTACCATAGATAAGATGTACAAAACTACCATGGACAAGACTACAAAATAACCATGGACAAGATGTACAAAACTACCATGGACAAAACATACAAGACTACCATGGACAAAACTACAAAACTACCATGGACAAGACCACACAACTACCATGGACAGGACTTACAAAACTACCATGGACAAGACTTACAAAACTATAATGGACAAGACTACAAAACTACCATGGACAAGACAATAAGACTACCATGGACAAGACCACAAGACTATCATGGACAAAACTACAAAACTATCATGGACAAGACCACACAACTACCATGGACAAGACTACAAAACTACCATGGACAAGACCACAAGACTACCATGGATAAAACTACAAAACTACCAT